AGACTTACCTGATACTGACGACAAGTAAATCTCACACCCGAACTACCGAAACTAGACTCCACCTAATCAACAAATAATTAACCCTAATTAATAATTATGGTCCATAACTCAACTCGCGAGTCCAAATCCCACAACTAAGTCCTTTAAGGGAAAAAGACCATTTTCCTTTCCCATGGTCCAAAACCCTAAATCTTGACCAAAAGTCAAAAGTCAACGAAAGGCAACTGCCTAGCGCGTAAGCTAGGGGTACTCTCTCTTACGCAAGATGTACTACTCAATCAGGGACGGAACTGGCTATGCGGGGCGTAGCCAGGAGTACGCCCGACGTACTCCGTCTGATCCAACTTTTATGTCTTAATCCGTTAAGACATCTAACCCAACTTCATATTTTACCATCCTAGGGTGTCTTAATCCATAAATTCGTCGACTTTAAGCCTTTGCATGGCTAGAAAGGGCCCGATGCAACAAACTTTATCTTCCATCATACTCTAACTCACTTTACTCATACATGTACCATAGGAAATGATCAAGCAACTATTTTTAGGAATCTACAAGTCGTAAAATGCATGAAAGGACAACTAATATTCTCTGGAGTGCTTCAAACTCATAAAGGTCCAAACTTGGGGAAAAAAAGCTCATAAAACTAATCCATGGAGATCAAAAAGGAAACTCATCAAGGTATAAATTTTATACCTAAAAAAGATGCACAATGAGGAGTGGTTTCTGGATCTACAAGCTTGCAAGCAACAACTCCTTCTTCTCTAGCCTCCTTCTTTAACAATATGCACCAAAATCACTTAATAAGCTCCCAAAATCTCACAAACAAGCTTAGACTCGAGATTTGCGTTTGAGGAAGGAATGGTGGCTGATAAGGATAGTCCAAAGGAGGTATAAGGTTGTTTAAATAAGGAGCAACCCTTAAAATTAGGGTTTAGTGACTGGGATAGTGCGCTCGACGTACTACACGTACGCCCAACGTACTAGCAGGGCACACGTGATCCCGCATCACACGAGTACGTTGCGCGTACCCTCAAGTACGCCTAGCGTACGACTAAAACGCGAAACTTTTACCACAAGGGACCAATTATGCAACTTTGATAAAGTTAAGAGCTTAAATGATAATACATGATAATCGGATGTTACAGTATGATTAATGATTGTGATTTTTATAATATCTATATTGTTTTACTTTGTCAACCAAACCGTATATAAATGTATAAAATACAAATACAAAATTGCCAACAAATTTGACTATTTTGCCACGACTTAAAAAACTAATTTATAATAACTCACATTCTGTTGTTTTAACTTTTTTTCTGCATTTTTTTATAGAAGTATTAAATTAAAAATGAAACTTTATAAAATATGTAGAATATAGCATTGTACCTTATAAATTTTTTTATTTTTAACAATTTTTCATAAGAAAGTATACTGTTTTGTTGTGTGTGACTGATTTGCCCCTGAATTTCTACCTATTTTCCAAAAAATACAAGAATTATAAAAGAACTTCATAACTAAGCAAAAATAGCATTGCACTTTTAGAATTAATTAATTTCTGCCAATTTAATTTAATTTTTTTTTTGTTCAAATATAATAAAAGTTATGGTGTTATATTAAACATCAAATTGATAGTATAATGTTTTACCATGTGAATGTGTTGTAATAAAATACAAAAATGGGAACAAATTTTGCTGTTTTACTACTACTCAAATAACTACTTTATAATATGTCATATTTTTGCCACGTTTCATAGAAAAAGTTAAAATTTTCAATTTTCAAAAATTTAAAATTTTGCAGAAACCAGCATTGTACTTTCCTTAAATATGATTTTTTTGCATATTTTGTTAAAAAAATTATAATTCAATAATAAAACATTGGAAAAAATCCATAAAATAGCAGTGAAGTTTCTTAAAATATTTTTTTTAACATTTTTGTCTAAAACAAAAATACATTGTTTTGTTGTGTGTGTATGTGTTGTAAACAAAATGCAAAAATGTCAATGTTATTAACAAATTACACAATTTGTCCCTTAAAAAAACAATTTCATAAAATATAGCATCCTACTTTCATTTGCTTCTCATTATAGCGATGTACTTAAATAACGTATGTATTTGTAACTTTATGTCTATGTGTTGTAAATAAGATATAAAAAATGTTTCCTATTGCTATTTTTTTCAGAATCCCGTTACACACTAGGATGTACTCAAATTTTATAATTATTTTTTCCAAAGTGCCATTTCATATTTATTATCAATGTAAAGGGACGTAGGAAAATAGTATTGCTTTTTTTATTTAAATATAAAGTCATTTTTATAACATCTAACTTCCAAAGTTATCCGACTACAACTTTCTATTTCGTACTTTCTGGTCACATTTGCCCTTAAACAAAACATACAACGGATTTCAATAATTTTTCTCAATAAATGTGACTGTTGTGTCCTGACGAAATAACTACTTTTAATACAAATGTATAACGGTAACCTTAACAATAAGATATCTATTTGTGTTTAAAGGACTATTTCAAAAATTTTGATTCCTAACAATTATTTACCATACGTCAATAGTTTTTTTTATTACTTTGGATTCAATTACCTTGTTATTCATCATTGTGTTTGACATTAATTTTTTTTAATAAACACGTGTAAATTGTAATACACGGGTCTCAACATCTTATATATATATATATATATATATATATATATATATATATATATATATATATATATATAGGGAAGGGTTATTTGGAAAACAAAAAACCCTAAAAATCATAAAAATGTATAAAAAAAATATTTAGAGATTACAAGACTTTTTTTTTTAATTTTTTTATAAAAAAATCCCAGGTTTTTTAATAAATTCGCTGAAAAAAAATTAAAAATCAATTTTTTATATTTTTAAACAAAAATTAAAAATTTTTTTTTTTTGAAAAAAAAAATCAGCGAATTTATTTAAAAACATGCGATTTTTTAATAAAAAAATTCAAAAAAAAGTTTTGTGATCTCTAAGTATTTTTTTATGCATTTTTATGATTTTTAGGGTTTTTTGTTTTCCATAGAACCTAAACCTATATATATATATATATATATATATATATATATATATATATATATAGATATATATATATATATATATATATATATATCTATATATATATATATATTTGTTGACCTTGAAGCTGGAGAATGAACCCTACAACTACCTGCCCCATATGATATGGATTCAGTTACACCAGAGTAACATATCATGGATTTTGGGTATCACCTCAACTTAAGGCTCAAGTATCCTTGTAATTATTTCATGGTTAACATGAAGGCATTGACAATGTATCAATTAATGTCTAAAAAATGTTAGGTGCTTTGGTTGCCAGGCAGGAATGGTAGAAAAGATTTTGGCCGCATGTGTTTTAGCCTTTAACGTTACTTTAAACAATTTTTTTATAGTAATTACTACATTCAATTCTCATTTAATTATCATTGTACAATGAGTGAGATGGCAAACGGGCAACAAACTGTGCCGCTGAGCCTTTTTGTATGGTAAAACTAATTCTTTTAAAAACTACATCCGAAGTTCTAGGAGATATAACATTACTATGCATGATCCGTTGTACTCTATTAAGAAGTTCTACCGCATCCGGCGCTAGGAAACCAAACATATCAAATGCAAATGGTATGAACACGTGTTGATTTTCCATGCACGATTTCTCATGTTTGGTGACTTTGTCTGTAGCTGCTTTTAAAGCAGCCTGTCCCGCCGTAAACCCCCAACCCTCAAGCCTACGAGAGGGGATACCCCTGTAAGGTCCACACATGCGTGTTTCCCTCCGACCCATCCAAAAATCAAAATGTCAGCTGGTCTGAGGGTTGACCTTCCTTCTGTCGGGTCAGGCAAGAAATTAACAGGTGCCTCTTTCTTAGCGGAAACCCCGACACGCTTAAATATGTCAAACAAAACATCTATAACCATATTGTGCCTGTATTTGAACCCTGGGAGTTCTTTACAGTGAAGTGCATGCTCTCCAAAAGAGTCCAAACATGCCTTGCGACACACCGGACATATATCTCGTCAGTTGGGAATATGAGAATCATGAGTCGATATTTGAGGATAGTATGATACTCCACGAGAGACATATGTTGGCCAAGCCCATTTACAGGGATAGCTGGAAGAAGATCTTGAGCATGTGGTACACGTAAGCACCGGAAGACCGCTTTCTGCCGAGCCGTCATGTCGAGATGCACTTCCATATCTTGGACAATTTTACGAAAAATGGCACTCGCCAGTGTATTCTGGGATTTAGGGGGGGCGGTGTCTTTAGTAGTAAAACTGTTAATGTCGAAATCTGAAAACTTGTTACGAAGAGATGCCAAGTCACAATCATAATCATAATCTTTACCATATATGGGTTAATTTATATAAAAAAAAGTTAAATATATAAATCTAAATAATTGAGAACTTTGAATTTATAAGAAAATAAAAAAAATAATGAATTATTAAAATTAAAATGTTTTTAATCTTTTAAATTTAAACAAAGAATTTAAATAAACAAACAAAAGAAACCGATAAACTTTAATTTAAAAATATTGAAATTAGAAGTTAAGCTCATTAATGAAATTGATATCTATTTATTATTATTTTTATAACAATCAGACCCGGCTCTAAAGAGGGGCAAGGTGGGCAGCAGCACAGGGCCCCGAAAAAAATAGGGCCCGAGTTTTTCAAAATTATATAATTAAGATATTAATATATATTATGTTTTTAGATTTTTAACACAAATGTCCTTTGGTTCAGCTGGTTAAAATGTCCTTTAATTTATATAATTATTTCATTACACGTTCGGGCATAAGGGTCTTTTCTTTCCGGTTCGTCCTGGGCATTTGAATATTCAGGACCGGCCCTAATTATAATTATTATATTAAATTATTATATGAAAAAAAAAAAAAATACCACAAATTGACATTTATCAAAATAAAGAAGAACATACCTTGTGATAAAAAAAATTATTTATTAGGAAGGATTTCATTTATTTGTTCCAGGAATAACAATTAAGTAATCAAAATCTCATCTGAGGGAGCAAGCAAAGCAACTAAGCAAGTGGGTGTTGCGTGTGAGATCTCTAAACCCAAACCAAACAGATCTTTTCCCGACAGAAAAGAGAAAGAGAAAGAGGGCCACATCAATTGCAAGATGGGACCAAAATCCTGCCCATCATGGCATCATCACACTCCAAATCCTGAGTGTGAGTGAATTTCAAGATTTCAACTTTGGGGGCCACAGCAGCAAGCATTCAACCAGCTAACAATTAAAGATCAACCCTAACCCTACTACATTGGTTCATCAATTCATTATTCATTATTATTATTATTATTATTATTATTATTATTATTATTACCGACATATTTCTGCAAAACGCACCTAGAATTCAGAAACAATGAACATAAACTTAACAAAATACTGGATTTCTCAAGTGAACCACTGAAATGCAACAGTGTCTGTAGGTGTAGATGCAAGAGTTGGACTATTGCAAACACTGCCATCGGAGAGTGATGGCATTGTCCTCTGACTCTGTAAAACCCCACATGGTGACGACACTGTTGTTGCTGCTGGGCTAACGCTAATCGAGTCGGATCCGGTGGGGTATGGAGAGGTAGGGCTCGAACCCACCACAACCGCAACCGCAACCGAACTTGGTCCTGGTATTAAGACCTCCGCCAGTGGGCCGCCTGGTGCTGTGCCACAAGAAACAGGGCTTACCAACCCCAAATCCCTTTCATGCTTCCCCAAACCCAAACCCATAGCCATTGACAGATCCAGAGCAGACGAATCTTTAACAACACTGGTTTTGTCGGTGATAAAATCTCTTCTTGGGGTCCCGAAATCTGTAAAATCCCCAAAATCACTATTGAAGATAGAGCAACTTGTCTGCATAATCTGTCGCCATTGTTGCTCATATCCAACTTCCAAGCTCCAATCCGAACCCCTGAAAACATTAATAAGTTGTATCTCATCTAAAAAGCATTGTATTGTGTACAATACTAATACTAATAAATTACCTGTTATTAACAGTTTTGGAATGCATATTACTATCAAGAAACAAAGGGGCTTCAGTGGCAGAAGGCAAAATTGTAGATCCGAGAACTCTACAAGGATTGGAGTGAGTTGATGACTGAGAAGTTGGGTTTGGAAGACGAATCTTGCTGTTGTTTGTTGTTGGGTTTTTAAAAAGTTCCACATGCTTTCTTGAACGTGGACGTCCTCTGTGCATATGACGCTCACAGTATTTCTGATTAGGCGCCACATCTCTTGAACACCTCCATTTTTTGCCGTCCGTTCTTTTACATCTCCCGGGCTCCAGATCTTGTTTCGTTGAATACTTCAACTGGCTTGCCACTAATAACAACACATCAAAATCAAATCATTCCTTATCAACATAACACACAAGGATGAAGAGTTGTAAATGAAGTGATATAAATTTACATGAAGGGAGATTTTGGATGATGGGTAGAAGAAGTTCGTAAGGAATAGGAACAGAGGCGACCATGTACTTGTAGATCATTGCCTGTCTTTCGAGTTCCATCCACTGAGCAGCTGTAAATGGAAACCCCAATGTTGCAGCCATCTCTGTCTGTTTAATCAAATCCAAAATGAGACTGAATAAGAATTTGACTTTGCAAAAAGAAAAGGAAGAAACACCCCATTACCTTTCCTCTATTATTATTATAAGAATAAGAATTTATATATGGACCTTGAAAATTGAAGGCGGTTGGGAAATTAAAAATGTCAAAAGGCTGCAGTGAGAGAAGTGGTAATGTAATATTTTAAAAATAGCATTAAAATTTTTATGTAAAATATAGGGTGTAATTATTCCAAAACTAAAACACGATAAATCGTATTTTTCAAACATTAGAGTAAATCAAAGGTAATTAGTGCGGAAAAAACGATCAGGGGATGTTGTGCAGTTAAGTCGGACCATTTTCTTTGGAACTGGAAGTTCCTAAAAAATGTTAAACTACAAACCGTAAACACAGAGCTTAGTTAGTTCCCCGAAAGACCACATATCATACATAAGATAGAGAATGTTACGGGTCATCCATAGTCTTACTGTCACTATCAACCATGAGCCAATCATGGTCTTTCCTTATCACACCAGCAGCCAAATCCTAGTCTTATGTATAAGTGCCAAGAGTCACCTCTCGGTCTTCCTCGCGAGCATCACAAAGACAACTAACAACATACAAATAATTCTCGACGGCTAGACCCTGGTCTTGCATACAATTTGCCAGGAGTCACCACTTGGTCTTCCATGCATATGTCAGGGACCACCACCTGGTCTTCCATGCAAGTATCACATAGACAACTAGCACCCAACATTATATAGTGAGAAGACTCACCTTAACCTTAAAGACAAGATAAACCACCCACTCGAACCGATGATATCAAGACTCCCTTTTGCTAAACATATCCACAAAAAAAACCCTAATTAACAATTAAGGAAATAACTGGCCCACGGAAGTTATAGGCTCACAATTAATCCTCCTTTGGGCAAAAGACCATTTTGCACTTCCCATACTAAGTCCCAACATGGTTGACCAAAATTCAAACTGGCCAAAAGTCAACAGTCAACACTCACTTGACTTACGCCCTACGTAACTAATCTACGCCCTGCGTAGAGCCCCTGATCCCAAAACTTCTATTAAGCTCTTAATGCAACAAACCAAATTCTCAAACTCCCAGATCTGATCTAAATGAATGTCTTAATGGATAAAGTTTCTGACTTTATCCCTTTGCATGGTCAGGATGAACACATAACCAAACTCTAAGCATTTTGCTCAATAACTCAGGCATGGATGGATGAGAGTGCCCAAGCTTTGTAACGACCCAAAAATCAAGGGTAAAATTTTTTATTTTTATTATAGTTAAAACACAAATACCATTTAAATTCAACCATTCAAAACATTGTTTAATAAAAACATTTATCAGAGTTTCATCCCAAACTCACGTAATGCGGAAAACACGGGTGTGTGCGCTACGATCAAGCCGGGCCCATCCTTTCAAAACTGATGATACCTGAAACCATAAACAAAACTGTAAGCACGAAACTTAGTGAGTTCCCCAGAGCATACCCCACACAATCCACATAACCACATAATCCGTGTTAGCTATATCAGTTACATAAACCATATCAATCACATAAGCCATGCATATAATCATATAAGGAAGCCGAGGAAACCCTCCAAGGTCTTACTCCCGGTGCCATAGGAACCCCCTCATAGTCTTAGCCCACTGTCATGGGAACCCCAACATGGTCTTCACTAACTACCATACATACAAACATATAAGGATGCACTGGAAACCCTCCAGGGTCTTACTTCGGGTGCCATGGGAACCCCCACATGGTCTTAACCCAAGGATGTCATGGAAACCCTCCAAGGTCTTACACCCAAGTGCCTCGGGATCACCCCGAGGTCTTTACTAAGGATGTCATGGAAACTCTCCAAGGTCTTACACCCAAGTGCCTCGGGAACCCCCCGAGGTCTTTCATGTAAGTATCATATAGACAACTAGCATACCACATACCACACAATCAACTATCATACCACACATAACCAATTGCAATGGGAACCCCCGCATGGTCTTCACATAAATACATAATGTATCAATAGCACATCCGCAATAATCATCACAACTAGATAAATGGGCCGGCCTTGGTGCCTTAGACCCATTGGTATGGTGAGGAGACTCACCTCACACTGCTGAAGTCCCGCAGATAAAACTCTAGCTGCTAAATGACAAACTCCCGAGCTGTCCATATCAAAACAACACCCAATTAACCATTTGGGTTTCAATGTATAACCATAAATCCACACTTGGGGTAAAAGGACCATTTTACCCCTTATCTAGCTTGGTTCAAAACCAAGGCCCAACTCACACTATGAAGGCCCAAAAGCCAAATAATCAACCAAGGCCCAACATATGGCCCAATTTTCCAAATTGGGCCCAAACCTCTACATGGTCTTATCTTAAGGCCCAACCATTTATTCTAGTCCAAACACTTGGCATTCCGATGGTCCAATATCTCATAATCATCAAGGCCCAATTATGGCCCACCTATGGCCTAATTTTCCAAATTGGGCCCAAGCCTTTCCAATGGGCCTTATTCTAAAGCACAATAATTTCCTTAGTCCATAAAATTGTTCTCATTTGGCCCATGAAGGCCCACATCAAGTCAGTCTAAGAAATGGCCCAACAAGAACGCAAACCTAATTAGGGGTTTTCACATAAAATGACAATTAGGGTTAAGTGTTCTTACTTAACCCATTAAGGACTTAATCCATTAAGTCCATCGCCCTACTAGGCCAAACACAAAACATGATCGGGCATAAGCCATAACATCAATCCAATGGTCCAAAACACGGGTTCCGATAATTCCAAACTAACAAATCCAAAATTAGTGTTTTCTAAACCCTAATTAGGGTTTCCAACCCAATTGTGTGACAATTAGTCCATTTGTTAACTTTTAGGTCAAATTAGGGTTTCGTTAGGTTGAGTACCACCCACTGCCACCTCGAGAGGTGGTGGTTGACGGCGGCACACGACGGTAGCCACCACCTTGTGGTGGTGGTGGTTATGATTTTTTGCCCAAAACAGCATCAAAAGCATTCCAATCATCAGATCAAACGCACAGATAAGCCCACAACCATCGGAGATGGTGGCTAGTGGTGGCGGAATGGCGGCAACCACCATGGTCGGCGGCCATGGTGGTTGTTCTCGGTTTTCTGGCCAACAATTATGCCCGCAATGAATCACAGCGCAAGGGAACTCACATACAATCGACGCATACTCCAAGGTGCGCACAACAACCCCTCCCTCGGAATGGTGAAGGTTGACCGGAGCGGCTAACAAGAACCGTATGGACGGAGGAGGACATGCCAGTTGAGGCATAGCACGGAAGAATAGAGAGAAAGGCTGTGACCGAGAACGTCAGCAGCAGCAGAAAGGACGCCCGTTTGCGGCCCTTATCGTCGTCGGTAACGTGAGCAATGATGGCGCTGAGTGGCAACTCACATCGGTGACAAAGGAATCGGCCTGGAACGGTAGTGCTTGGCAGTCTTGCCTAATCAGAAACGAGAAGGAAGGATGGTGCGGCTGGAGATTCCCGAACGGCGGCCGTTGAAGGCAAGGAATAGGGTGGCGGCTAAGGAAGTGTACCCTAGGGTTAGGGTTTGCATTAAGAAACGAGGGAGGGAAGGGTACCAGGTTTAATTCTCATGTCCCTATTCAAACATCATTTCCATTTTCCAAGTTCAGTCCCTCACCACCATATCTTTTTCAAACTAAGCCCAAAATTTACCCTTTAGCCCCTGCCTCTAAAAATCCTTTCATAATAAATCCGATATTTACCAAACACCCTCTGACTTCTGAAAATCTTTACAAAATAAATCCCAGAATTACACTTTAACCCCCGAACATCCAAATTATATCATTTAACTCCCTGAAACCAACACCCTGCTAAATTATTATGAATTTTAGGGCTACTATAAGATAATATAAATATAAATTTATATCTTGGGGTTTGGAGTTATTATTTAATTACTTAATTTTAAATGGAATGTTACAACTCCCCCCCACTTAAATCAGATTTCGTCCTCGAAATCATTCCTTACCATTCCTGACACGCCAAACAACTTGAGCAACACGACCACAACCATAAGCCTACCCTAGCCTTTCCAAGGCAACCAAAGCCATCCCTCGCAGGGTTCTAAAACCCGAAGATGAACGAATTCCTTGCAATATGATCACATCTACTCAGTCTGAAATCTGTAGTCTCGAGATGGTCTGTCTCCCTAACAGACCGCCCACACTGAATCGTTGCTGAATTCATTGCACTTATCTCCCAACTGGCTACTCAACTTCTAATAACTAGATATTCCCACTAAATATAGAGTCACAAACCAAACTTCCCTACAAAATACAAATACTTGACAGAAGCTCAGGTAACCCTTCGAGTAGAAGACTTATCCCTGCAACGGTTCGACTCAGACGAGAGCTGCGGAATAGGGTCAAATCAACCACTCTGAGATTATTTAATCCCAACTGCAAACAACTTAGCGTATACCCCTAAGATAAGCAACTCCACACACAGACCCCAAATCACTGAAACCATTCCAAGTCATCTTGCTGCCACATACCTGCTTTCCTTAAGAACAACCGAGACCTCCCTGGTCCCAACTTGTCTGCTAACTGTCCAAAACACCGGACACCTACCCGATTGCTGAGCCAAAATACACACACATAATAGCCTCGCGTGCCTTCTGAAAAGAATTCCGGCTGGCAAGACTTGATCAAAAACACCTTGCTACCAAAACTTATGCTAGAGGTATGAATGTTACATGACTCACCGCAGCCTCATATCATATACGATCACCAACTACCCATCTTTTCCTGATTCCAACATGTCGTGGCTCTATTACAGATAGAACCAACCCGAGACACCTCACAACGGCTTAAGCTACCATCGAACCAACCATTCATTACCCCGGAATCCTGCATTTGACGCCCTTGGCATATAGATTCCCCAAATCTCATTTCACTGATACGAAATCCTACACTTGCATAATGCACCACGACTTCCCGACATCCCTTACTTGACCGATGAGTAAATACCCTTAAGCCATTCCTCGAGACTACCAGTCCCACACCTGGTCTAACCACCAGATTCCTAAGAGATCGTTATTGAGGCTACCCAGCCTAGACTCCTCTGCGTCACATACTGATTATCCACATGATCCTGCAACTGAAGATCTAAAACCTTGACTCAACAGTCTCTACCAGTTCCATCCTAAATTCCCATAATCATCTGGGCTCGCCCGCGGACCCCAAGGGTCCTCATCCTAGAGCAGAGAGTAATTCCTTGCCAACCCTGGCCGGTGTGCCCGAAGCACGAGCTGATCTCCCTTTCATGCTTGTGACCATCACATAATTAGTCTAATTCGGACCGATGAATACTACGATCCTATCGCAGCCTAACACTAATTCCATCTAACCATGCTTACCACCCATGGCCTTTCTACACTCCACTATCACATCGTCACAC